CCGGCCAGCCCAGCCCCCGGCTCCCCGCGCAGCTCTGCCGCTGGCCCTTGCCCACAGCCAGCCCAGCCCTGGGCTCCCCACGCAGCTCTGCTGCTGGGCCCCCCAATCCCAACTCCCAGCTATTCCAGCCCTGGGCTCCCTTCCCCCAGCTCCGCTGGTGCCCCTCAATCCCAGCCCCCAGCTATCCACACACACTGAGTTGGGATTGAGGCATCAGCACAACACGCACTACCCCGGCCCTGGCTGCCTCCCAAGCACACCCTGCCTGTTGTGCCCAGGTGGTGGTGTCTGATATCTGGCCCCACTTCCTGCTGGAGTGTGGCTGTTAACTTGGCTGCACCGGTGCCCTGGGCTGGCTGCTGGGATTCTGGGCTGCGAGGCCAGCATGTGACTGCCCCACCTCTGGCATGGTCTCACTGGGTCGTCCCTTGCTGTGTTTCAGATATGATCAGCCAGCGGGCCGCAGGGGGTAAGCACAACAGTAGCTCCCAGCTGGGCACTGGCAGAGGGACCCTAAGGCTGCGGGCCAAGGGACCGGCCACCGTGGAGGAGCAGGTAGGTGCCAGCCCTGGGAGCTTCCCTTGACAGCCCTCGGGAGCCTTTGAATGTTCACTTGGGCCCTGACCTCTTCCCAGAGGGAACTGAGGGTGGGGAGCCAGAGCAGAATGAGAGGGAAGCTGAGGTCCCAGCTGTCCCAAGATTGGGGAGGGGACAGGTCCTCCATATGGGGCCGCTCCCCCCCACTACGATCCTTGTACTGCACCTGCTTCCCAGTCTTCTCCCACAGCCCTGACGATGCCCCTCAATCCTCACCTGCAGTCCCCTGCTATCCCAGCCCTGGCCCCCAACACCCACACCTCTCTGCCAAGGAATGGGGAGGGTTGGAAGAGGCTTTAGAGGGCCCCTCTTTTCCCATGGTTCTTGGCTGGGGGGTGAGTGGGTGGCTATATTTTTGCCTCAGTCTCCTGCTCAGCAGCTCTCCTGCCCCCCAGCTGTCTGCGTTTGAGGAGAGGGCGATTGAGAAGGTGGACGACCTGCTGGAGAGCTACATGGGCATCCGCGACACGGAGCTGGGTGAGTCTCCTACCGAGCAGCCCCCAAGTCACCCCTGGGCTGGGTGCCCAAAGCATCGGGGTGTTGGGGGAAGGGCTGTGTCATGGTCAGCCAGCGTAGGAAACCTTGCTGGGCAGCGTGGGAGCTCCCCCTGCTGGGAGCTGCCCCGCCTCCTGCAACAACCCCTGCTGGGAGGGGCTGGGACTGGAGTAGCTGGACGCTCCCCAGCAGTTAAGTGCAAGCCCTGCTGTTAGTGGCCCAGAGGCCTACATCCCTCGTGTGCAGCATTTAGTGTGAGGAGAGGAGTCTCCCCTCTCTGAGAGGTGAGCAGGGCTCTCCCGGGGGCACACAGCAGCATTTCCGGGGTTACTGTGGCAGTGGCAGAGACAGGCTTGTCAGTGTGTTCTGGGAAGCAGGGCTGGGCACAGAGAGAGCGAATCAGCCCTTCAGCTCACAGGCCTCCCAGCTGCCATGCCTCCTCGGCCAGGGCTGTGGGCAAGAGCGGCGTGTTGGCGCTGGCAGTGCTGGGGCTCAGGGTGTCTAGGGCTACTGGCAATGGCATGGCAGCGCTGTCATGATGCGCGAAGCATTGGCACTGTTGGTGGGAGAAGTGGGATAGCACTAGGGCTGGCACGTCCTACCCCAGGTAACATAGCAGTGAATGCTCCTCACTTCCCCCCACACCCATCTCTGCTCTCTGTAGCTGCCACCATGGTAGAGCTGGGGAAGGACAAGCGGAACCCCGACGAGTTCGCGGAGGCGCTGGATGAGCGGCTGGGTGACTTCGCCTTCCCCGACGAGTTCGTCTTTGACGTGTGGGGCGCCATCGGGGATGCCAAAGTTGGGCGCTACTAGGACTCTGCGGGACTGCCCTGCTCTGCCCATCCTGGATGTGCTGTGCCCTTGGGCTGGGCAAGGGAGTGCTGGGTTGCTGCCCTCATGTGGACCAGGGAGTAGGGGACACAGAGCCGGGCCCGTGGTGTGCCTGGCTCCAGCACTGCTCTGGCAAAAACTCCAGCTCCGGCTC